TGTCACAAGCTTTGCAATGTACACAACCGCCCACTCCTTGTTTTTGTTCACGCGTGCCTTCAGCGTGTTGCCCTTGAACAGCACGCAGGCCGTCTCAAAGCCCAGGGTCCCCGTCCAGCCCTGCCCACGGCCACACACCACCTCGGCGCCAACCAGCACGTGATGGGGGCACTTCGGTATCGGCGTCACGAAGCTGGTCGTGTAAGAGCGCAGCTTGTTCGTGCGGACCGCCAGTGCGTAGCCAGCATGGGCATAGCGGCAGCCGAGCGTCAGGTCGTAGTCCTTCTTTCCGTCCAGGGTGTAAAGCGCACCGCATCCCACTTGGCAGTGGGGCGCTACGGCCGTCGCGACGCCCACCTCCACAGTTTTGTTCACCAGCTTCGCGTGCGACGACATGCGAGAGGGCATCACGAACTCATGGGAGAGCTCATACTCGCCATTCTTCTTTCCCACAGCCTCCACCTTGTGGCCCTGGCAGAGGTACGACGCCGTCAAGTTGGCATTGCAATTGCTGGGCTCAAGCGTCGCCTTCAGTGCGGCGCCGCACCTTGGAGCGTACTCCACATCCACGCTGAACTTGCCATCGGACGTTGCCATGGGGTTCACAAAGAGCTTGTCCTCTGGGCCCTTGAATTTACTCTCCAGCTTCCATTTATGAGCATCGCTGTAGCTCTTCGTGAGCATGTCCTTCACGTCCTTGTTGAAGTCCTTGTAGAGAGTCAGGGACTTGGCGGCGGCGAGCATGGGTGGCATATTTTGCTGGAATTCGCTGAATTATAATAAAAAATATCACTTCTGTCTGAGTGGAGTGCCACAAGAGAGAGAGGGGGAGGGAGAAATAATAAAGGGAAAGAGGAAAGACAGCAGTGCACATAAGTGGACGTATAAATAATATCATGACGGAAAAGAAAAACAAAGCCAACCAAAAGTCCCTCAACACACCCAGGGAGCCATTCTCGCACTCAACCCAATAACACACAAAAATGTCTTGATAAGTCCGCTAAGTAATAAAAAATATATACCATTTCTCTTTCCCAATGTTTTTTTTTTTCCTTTTCCCCCCCTCGTTCTGAGAAACTGCACGCACAAAGCGGAGTCCCTCTGCTAAGGTCGGCATCTAGTCCTGTTACCTTCTTTATAATTAATATACGCAGGGATGCATGTCGATCGTTAATTTCACGTAAATCATTTCTTCCTTTCCATTCTATTCGCTCCTTTTGTCCTCCGCACCATCGGCAACGTCCCCTACGAGTGTGTCAGGAGTACCCCGGGTTTCAGGTTCTTGTCAAGAGTGACGGCGGCCGTCCAGTTGTCCACAAGCTTTGCAATGTACACAACCGCCCACTCCTTGTTTTTGTTCACGCGTGCCTTCAGCGTGTTGCCCTTGAACAGCACGCAGGCCGTCTCAAAGCCCAGGGTCCCCGTCCAGCCCTGCCCACGGCCACACACCACCTCGGCGCCAACCAGCACGTGATGGGGGCACTTCGGTATCGGCGTCACGAAGCTGGTCGTGTAAGAGCGCAGCTTGTTCGTGCGGACCGCCAGTGCGTAGCCAGCATGGGCATAGCGGCAGCCGAGCGTCAGGTCGTAGTCCTTCTTTCCGTCCAGGGTGTAAAGCGCACCGCATCCCACTTGGCAGTGGGGCGCTACGGCCGTCGCGACGCCCACCTCCACAGTTTTGTTCACCAGCTTCGCGTGCGACGACATGCGAGAGGGCATCACGAACTCATGGGAGAGCTCATACTCGCCATTCTTCTTTCCCACAGCCTCCACCTTGTGGCCCTGGCAGAGGTACGACGCCGTCAAGTTGGCATTGCAATTGCTGGGCTCAAGCGTCGCCTTCAGTGCGGCGCCGCACCTTGGAGCGTACTCCACATCCACGCTGAACTTGCCATCGGACGTTGCCATGGGGTTCACAAAGAGCTTGTCCTCTGGGCCCTTGAATTTACTCTCCAGCTTCCATTTATGAGCATCGCTGTAGCTCTTCGTGAGCATGTCCTTCACGTCCTTGTTGAAGTCCTTGTAGAGAGTCAGGGACTTGGCGGCGGCGAGCATGGGTGGCATATTTTGCTGGAATTCGCTGAATTATAATAAAAAATATCACTTCTGTCTGAGTGGAGTGCCACAAGAGAGAGAGGGGGAGGGAGAAATAATAAAGGGAAAGAGGAAAGGCAGACAGTGCACATAAGTGGACGTATAA